ATGAAAAAGAAACTCCTTGAAGATGTACTACTGATTTATGTGAAGATTACGAAACCATGTGCGTCAAATAATAATGATTTTACCACAGATCGAGGTGATTTAAACACTAAAATATTGTTTTTCCGACTGCATGCAGAACAAATCAGCAGTACACACGAATAGATTAACCTGGAAAGTCAAAATCAATTCAGGTCATCAGAATTCCGACCAGCTATTTAAGCGGATCAGGAAGACAGAAAACAGTTGCTTGTTTGCAAAGTATACTGTCTGAACTGAAATTTCTCAAGTGACAGGGACATTTTAAGAAATGCAGACTGCAATAAATAGTGGTTAATCTCTATGCTAATTAGATTACAATTTTTCAATAAAATTCATCATCTAACTTTTAAGCTATCCAACTGCATAAGTCAACTATCAATTTCGTAATCACGTAAACAACAGCACACCTATATTTACAGGTCTCAAAAGCGTTGATATGCTCTGAGTGCTCAAGTACAAATAACTGTTTCTGTTATCGTATCTGCTGTCAGTTGTTCACATAGTTAGTTAATGAACAAGCATACACCAAAATGCGTTGATCTTATTTTTTGCCTTTTCATCTTCAGAAGACAGATTATTTCTTACATCTCAAACTCTCTTCACTCCCACCGATTTCCTCGATAAATATTTATCGTGAGTAGACATATATATATATATATATATATATATATATATATATATATATGATGTTAGGGGCAGTCAGAAGGAAGACTTAAACCTAAATTCCGTGTTTAAAGTCACTTATCAGCATACCACATCTACAACCTTGAAGGAACTGCTAAAACCTCTGATTATAACACTGGGTAACTCAGGTTCAACAAGGCAGTAGAAAAGTCCTTTGAAGTTGGGAATACGCCTGGCCAGAGAATATAATATTGAACCTGGGTTTGGGCATCCTGCCAATTGTCTGCTAACACTTACAACAAAGTAATCATGCTGGTGGGTTACTTAATTTGGTGATCACACTGCGAATTCAACCTATACAATTCAGTTAAACACCAACACTCTACGGAGCACAAGCAAAAAGTCAGGTAAACGCAGGCACATGGTTCTTGAGAACCATAAAAAACGTATTCTTTGAAGAGAAATTTTAAAATTTTCCACCACCGGAGTTGTCGGTAAATACATTTTGAATATGATTATGACTAGTCATAACCTCATAGTATGTTCTAAATTTGTCCAAATTTTTAAAACCTAGGATCTGTAAATTAAGTAGCTAAACACACTTTTCTATACTGATTCTTTCGTGAACTGGCATTAAATATAGAACAGTTGACATTCATCTTGTTTTGTAGCTGAAACTCTTTCATGATTTTAAGCGACTAAGTAAATGTTGATAAGTAGCAAGAGATTTGAACTGTCTGTCTACAAAGTGATAATCAGCTATCAAAACTGAAATACCAATACTATTTCATGAGTAAACTAACTGTATATCAGTACCCGAATAAGTAGTAGACTACTGGGTGGGTATCAATGGATTCACGCATGACTGGGTGGTTTGTAGTCAATCAGCAAGATGCTGTGGACCTGGGTTTCGTGCTAGTTGGCACTCATCAGCAGGGCGTATCTGCAACCTTCAATGAACTCATGCCCCTTCAGAGACTCGAGCCCGCAGATGCGCCTTGTTGATGAAAGTCAACTGATAGGAAACCTAGCTCTAAGGCTTCCTACCAATTGCCTCCAACCATCTAATATCAACAGTTCTCAGTGCACTGTAATGGCCAGCCACCTAACATGGTGGCCACATTGCTAACTGACTGATCGAATTCAGTCTGCACCAAAGAAAGAACTAGACACATTACACTAGTCACTGACTAGCGACTAATCAAAAATGCCAGGACCTTTAGTTTGCAAGGTAAGCTTGCAGACCAACTCGATCCAATGATCCATGCATTCCAGCTTCTGCTAATTTGTGATATATATATATATATATATATATATATATATATATATATATATATATATATATATATATATATATATATATATATATCACAAATATCACAAAAAAAAAAAATCCTCTTGCTTGACTTGGTGCTTAAAACTTCCAATGGTTCTCCATTTGATGGCAGCCTGTAACCATTCCTGTAATTAATCAAACCACTGCAAACCAACACTTGATAGAAATCAGTTGGAACCGTCACTAGAGACTAGACATGTGATATTGTCTAAACCCCAGTGATCTATCAATGTTTGCATAAGTCTTACTCATGTGTTTACTTAACGAATTCACTGAAGTTCAACTATCCACTCTACTCATAATCACAAATGAAGCGTGAAACAAGTAAAAATTAAAGTAGAAACACAAACTGAAAAAAGAAAGTGAAGTCACCCACTGAAAAATAATAATTATTAGTCTTAACATGATAAAACTTCAGAGGTCAACAGCATTGAATAATTAGCCGTCCTGACTTCTACTTAAATTGTGAAAACACAAAACCCAAAAAGGTTATGTCATACTGTGCTATCGCATAACTGAACAACTTATAGGTTCATTCATGCTTCAATAAACTCTCTGTCAACATCATTTATAATAAAGATAATAATAAATAGAAATTAGCTTGAAAATATAAAATATACATGAATAGTTTCAAGTAGTTATTAAAAACCGTTAACAGTATTGTTGTTCATTAAATATATACACCACATTTGGATTAAAAGGCTTTATTTTCGAAAATCTAACTAACTGATTTGTCTACCAGCTCTATCGAAAACTGTAAAACCTCAATTTGTCAATCGTCTTAATATTTTATCGGATTACATGAAATTATTGACGCTGTATTCTGCCCTGCCCATATTGGCTTAACGGTCAGTTTGACTGTATGGGTAATCTAAACCTCCTGGATTTAATTCCAGGCTAACTCAGAGGTGTAGGCAGTTGAAGACTGCTAAGGGAGGACGCAGAAGCTACCAGGCACTTCTTAGTTTCTTAGTGCTTTTTCATATCATGTCTGCTGTGGATTAAACCTACCCTCAAATAACTGGAGACGACATAACTCATATTAGTTTACTAAGATTATAACAAAAAACCAACGAGGTTGATGTCAGAAAAATCAGCGACAATTCTGAGGATCCTAGAAGTTGAACTAATTACTTTTTTGCTAATGATAGTTTTGTTTGAACACTAGATGAGAATTAGCAGGACTATAATTATTTAGACATTAAATCCTTAAGATGATATCCATGCTTCAGTAGTAAAATTTTAGCAAGACAGCCACTCAGGAGGTCTAAGGTCCATTCCCAATGAACTCACTCCTAAAACTTTCCTGTTTTACTAGCAGGCAGTAAGCTCGGGTAAATAGCGATATTAGGCATCAGGCTATTAGCTCTGTGCTTCACTCGGGAAGCTAAAGAATGGATCGGAAATTATATGACTTAAAAGTAGTGGATTTAACGGGTTTCTGTAACTCAAAGCACTGATAAATCTAAATACACAGAACATGAACCCAAATATTTATCTATATTTTAACAAAAGCTTCTATTGGCGCTGAAAAGAGGTTTCATCTACTGACATAGATATAAAATTCATGCTTAACATAAGCGACTTCTCGTCACGGAATTAGTTTACAATTTTTTCGGCAAAGTATTGAAGTGAGATAAGCTTGGTACATGTTACACTTTATATTTGCTTTATATCGGAGCTAACATGAATAAGCAACTTCAGAAGGTACCCTTTACACATAACGTGGCTCAATGGATATCTTTTTGACGATCGAAACAATGAGTACTGGGTTCGAATTTCAGTGGGAGCACCATCAGTTAATGAGAAGCAAGCCTATCCCTTTGACGAGCTCCAGACAAGGGTAAACTTGCATAGTAGAGTCTAATGCCAATCACTGACAGACAGGCAATTTGGAGTTGGAAAGCTCCACTATATTTGGCTTGATACTTAAAACTTTAACTCAAAATACTAGGATTAGCATAATTGAAATAATTTATGTAGTGCAGTATACTGTTGGCAATTATTTCTAAACTAGTTTACATGCCAAGATTTTTCTTAAAAATAGGCTGTCCAACGCTGATATGACTAACAGTTTCAAATGCCGAATAACTGCCTGAAGTATATAAAGTCAAAAAGTACATCGAATGGACGAATTACTGGTAGGTTATCAACATGAAGTTTAATTAATTCAACAATATTAAACGCATAAGTGTTAAAATGCTAGAAAATAACTCAGAAGGATAGATTGATAACATGAAAATTATGGTCAGATATAAACCGTTTGTTGCAGAAACTAGGTTCGAACCTGAGTTTCACACGTGTCGGCAGACATCAGCAAGGAGTATCTGCCAACTCAAAGGTGTTCCCTTGAAATTAGGAATTTCTGTCTTCATTGCCTTGCACTGAAATTGATTCTCCTCAATAAGTAAACTTATTTTCAATATTTTTTTAGGGATTTGATTTGTTTCAAGCTTGACCATGGATCAATATCAGTTAGAGAACTGTTGCAAACCATGTAGTACTGGACAAATCTTTCGTTCAAGCGTCGGACTCATCATCGGTACGCACCCACTAGGGTTCGAACCCAGAGCCTTCCGGCTGCAAGGTTGACCAGTAGACCATTAAGCCACTGCAACCCGACTGGGTGGCCCATGAATAACAAATTATAACCATTCGCAATTTTAGCACGACTACCAGCCAATGTCATCAGCGAGCATTTGTCCTTACTCTCAGCTGGGGGGACATTGCTGGTCATGAATTCTCACTAGAACTTCAGACAACTTCTTCATGAAGCCAGTCACCAGTGAACATAGGAATTATTTTCAAGAGTTAGTTTGTAGTGGTTTGATATGCTTCAGGTCCTACAACGGATTGATATCAGTTAGACAACCATTGAATTTATATCATCTATGATTTCGTTTAGGACCAACCTCGCATAATATTATTTCTACAGAGATGTTGAATAAATCATAGAATATGAAATGAACGAGGATAATAATGAATTAATTTACAAACTTACATGAAACACTTCTTGCTCTTTTGGATTACTGAATAGTTTCAAACAGTTCGCTTTACATCGGGCTCTGTCAAATAACCTTTCTTCCATCCATGAACTGGTTACACTACATTCAGCTTCGTGACAGATATTTAACACCGACAATGATAGGGTTGATAATAATATAAGAGAAATTTGAAATGAATATTTGGTAGAATTTAAAAGTTTAGTCATCATTTAACATTTTCCACGCTGATTATTGCTTTTAAAATGGAAATCAGTGAATATATACACCACAGTTTATAAAAATACTGTTTTAAGTTCGAATTGTTTTTATGTTTTAAGTTCGTTCAATTTCTTTTTTATGAATCCGGTAGTCTTCCATTTTCGCTTTAATAGACACAATGTCCACCAGGTCAACTTTAACTGTAGTTTAAGCTGAATCTATGATAATTTTTCTCTGTAAAGTGATATTCGGATTATTTTAGCCAATTAGAATTTCACTATGCTCTGATTGGCTGATTCACAAACAACTACCGGCTAGCACCATACCGATTGGAAGAGAGTAAAATTTATAACTGATTTGCGATAAGGGGTCAGATTAAAACTTAAGTTAGGGTTAGAGTGGTGGTACCAGGGTGGAGGGTAACATTTACTGTTGCCAAACTATGCTCATACAAAATTCTTTAAATATTCCCATTTATAATATTTGAACAAGACATATAAGCGAACAATATTGTTTTCAATTAGATCTTCTCCAGGCTTTACTCTAATTTACATAGACTTATATATATAAAATTTTAACCAACGACGGTGATTTAGTGGATCAAATAATAATAGTAACCATGATAATAATAATAATAGTAATAATAATGTGGTAAATGTTTTGAACGAAGTTAATAACGATGATTATAATGATAACAAAACATATATAGGTGATAAGAATAACAAAGTTAGTATATGCATATATGTAGACAATTCAATAAATAAATAAATTAGGTCAAATCAAATGGAACGATAATCAGAGTTTAAATAAATATCGTAAAAGTACGAAGGAGAGGGATGATAAGAAAGGGTGGGAGGGTTTTGAATAGAATTCACCTAGGCCAAGGGAGAGACAAAGGTATTATTATCATGATTACTATTATTATTTGATCCACTAAATCACCGTCATTGGTTAAAATTTTATATAAGTCTATATAAATTAGAGTAAAGCCTGAAGAAGATCTAATTGAAAACAATATTGTCTTGTTCTAACATTTAAATTTATAATATTGAAAGAAGGGTGAGGTGGTGGTAATGTGGGGTCAATTTCAATGGACACTGAATATTTATGCTTTTAACTCATGTTTGTCCGTTTATGCTATGTATGTACTGAAGCTTTACTTATGCTTGTACGTATACATTACCTAATTAAAACAAAATAACAGATAATACAATATTTATTTCCGGGTGTTATTTACCTTTCGTTAGTCCAACAATTCCACATTTACACAACATAATGAGTTTTGTTTACATTTTTTGGTAAGATTACCTTTGTACCAGAACATAAGTTGTACGGGTGTACATTCTTTGGTGATTTCCTGTGGGTTTCATGATACCATTGAGTTGGTGATTTAATAGTGAAGCAAAAACTTGTCTGATAAATTAACTTGAATCAAGAAGCTTCTGAGTTAATGCAACTGTATTCGACTGACACGCCAAATGTCAATGACACTTGCAGGCGGTCGGGCTAAAAGTGCAAACTGACAGAATCATAATCCATAAGTCTTTGAAATCCGGCTAAATGGTCAGTGATCGTGACCTTGTTACCTGGACCTTGGGGCATGGGTGTGGACTGATGAAGAGCCCCAAACCAAGACGAAATACCTGTACAGTACTACCTGGTTTTCAGTGGTTCCTCTAACTAATATTATTCCGTGGTCGGACTTGAAATAAATCAAGTCCCTATAAACTGGCTCTTGAAAAAAAAGTGCCATCACTCACCAATATGCATGTATTATATATATCCAAACCAAGTTCACTTTTAACGGTTTGAAAAAATTTGGGCATTGGGTATATGATATTCATTATAATAAAGGTTTTTTGTATTTCCCAATGAATGAAAATACAAAACGAGATTGTTTTTACTGACGTTTCGCTATTTAATGCTAATAGCTTTCCCAAAGTATTTGTTTTTTCATTCATTGGGAAATACAAAAAAACCTCTATTATAATGAATATGCATGTATCCTTAGTTTGTGAACTGAAAGTAAGATGAACGTCACATTCTTAAATATACCGCTAACCAACAGTAAGTGACCAATAAAGATATAATTACTGGGAATAAGAAATCTTATCAACCATACCATGAAATAAGCTTCTGGTAGGGTAAAAAATTTAGAAATAAAATATTCATGTCTTTTTGCGTGGAATAAGTTCTGTATAAGCAGTTTAATTCAATTTTACCTGACACTTTTGGATCGTGTCACGAATGGAAATCAGTAGTGAAATCAGTGGAAAGGAAGAAACACTGTATAACTGTTTCGTCCTAGTTTGAGACTCTTTGGCTGTATGCACTAATAACCATTCCATCTAAGCATAGAGTCCTATATTGTCAGTGTAAGAGACAGATTGATGAAAAATCAGCCACTCGGTTGAAATCCAATAACATGAATTCTGAATTACGTCAATCTGTAATACAGCGCTATTACAAAACAACACTATCGATGACAGCCAACTTTGTATTCGACACTTCTCAATACAAGAATTTCAGGATATCAGTTGTTTGGGCATAAACGGACTAGGGATCGGTACACAGTCTGGTGATACACGCCACAAGTCTTTGAACCATATAGAAGCACTGACTGACCTATCACCAGTATTGAAAATTCGAATCTTGTTCCTTATTTTGAGTTCTGTTGGTTTCCATATGGATTTCAGAAAAACGAATGTCAGTCTTTCATTTCCGATCCCACCTTTGATATCCTCATGCTTATCGTGTATAGGTGAAACGACATATTAGTTTTCTTTAATTCAGTGAATGTTTCATTCACTCATCATGGGTAACTATTGCCTTAATATCGTCGCATAAAATATCTGCTTAGGCTTTCGTATCCCTATGTAAATCTGACTTAATTATAATATGAGAGACAATGGTTCATTTTATTCTTTGTAAAGCATATTCAAAATTATCTTTTTTATTCCTAAACGTTCCGATTGGAAGATGGGGCTTCAGGCTAGAGCTCTGAAGTTAAGGTAGCAGCGCTTATATTTTTATGGGGTGGGGTTGCTGGCCTCACACCCAACCTTCCCTCTTTACCGGCCTTACTACCGGCTTAGTGAGATATAGGAGTGCGTCGTCTGGGGATCGAACCTCGGACCACGTACTTCGTTGGCCGGTGCACAATTCAATGTAGTCTTAGTTTATCGAATTAATCTGTAAATTAATGAGGTAACGAATATAGTTACCAGGATAACTCGAGTCAGTGCAGTGGCTGCTGGGTAAACAAATGTCTTTATTTATTAGTTTTGTTGCTGCGATTTCTAAAAGTAAAGGTAAACATTGTCATCTCAATAACATCGATATTAATGATGATTCAGTCAGAACGTTTATAAAATGAGATCTAATTACGTAACAGTTCTTTCCGATATCACTTCCTGAATAAATATGTAAGTGAAGGATGAATGTAAACGTAAACAAACCATCAGATACCGTTTACGTGAACTGCTATAGATCAAATATGCATAACCTAAACAACGGAAGTTATAAATTCTGATCGGTAACGGGAAATTAATAACAACTCCAAAGGCACTGGCAAAAATAAAATATGCAAGCGTTAGTTTGTAGGGATTTGATTTGTTTCAAGTTTTACCACGGATTGATACCTTTTAGAGAACCATTGAAAATCAGAGTGGTGGACAGCCGCTTCTTCCTGCCTTGGGACTTAATAACAGTACGTACTCACACATAAGATAATGTCCTTGGCATGGTCGCAGGTACGCATTGTCGAAGAGTCCTACAGTAGTACAGAGCAGCTACACTCCGACCTTCCCAAAACACACACACTTTGCATTATCATCAGTAGTTCTGTAACCAGTATCGGTTTATGACGAAATCTAACTTCAATCAGATTATATCATTAATAATTCAACTCGATGTTATTCGGTGGACGGTGACTGATAGTGGAATTCAGGGTGTGTACCTCGGTCAGATGAGACCTTAATAGAATAAAATAGGCATCCTGGATCCCACTGTCAGTCATTATCAACCGAATGGCATCAGCAATAGACTTCAGATATCATCAAAAACATCCGTACTAGCATATGACGTGTAAATGGAGGCCAAACATTTCGGTTCAATCAGTTAAGAGGAAAAACACAAGTGACTTAAATAATTCAGCCTCTTAATATATACCTTATGTCACTACAATCATACGACATATTAGGTGAAAGTTGGATATTATTCAAAAAGTAGTGATTCAAATCAGCAGCTTCTAACTGTTTGAAGGTGTAATGCTTCAAACTCCGATAACTCAAATAATGTAGAATACGCGTGTACTGTTCGGCATTCGCGGCTTAGCTTTGACTGTTTGTTGCTTATCTTCCTTCTCAGTAATAAGTTTGTTTACCATTCGTTTTTCTTTGCTTAATCTGAATTCATTAGCAGGCAGGATACTAATTCAGTTGGTGTAATGTAGGATCAGTTTTAATGATAGTATTTTCCCACCATAATAAAGGATGCGTTGAATTAATATTGGCAAATAATTAAACCTCTTGACTAAGAATTCCCTAGCAGTTGTTTCTAATCCTTTAGCGACTCATATGTTTATCCCACTTTGAATCACCACCCATTACATAGATAAGTGACCATTTATCACTGTACAAAATGACTATCTCGCATAGATATTCACAGATTGCAAAGTACAGTAAACACTATTTTTCTTTTTATTTCTTGCGTTCCAAGTGGAACTTAGGACATCAATCATTTCGAAATTTTAGTATTCATAGTATTATTTTTACCAATTAGGTCTGTTGGCTTTACATCCACCTTTCCTTTGTTCTTGGGCTTACTATCGGTTAGTAAGCTAGGCGAGATTGATAATTGCGTCAGCTGGGAATGGAAACCCGACGTCCAGCATGATTGGTGAGCAGCCTACCACTGAACCACCAACCATCAAAACAATACTGCACAGTAAGAATTAACAGTGTTTCTTTCCTGTACCTTGCAGAGTTTCAATAAATTTGAAGCTTTTATAGACATAAGTTTATTACTTATTAACTGCAGCATTTGTAGAATTCTATTCTGAATTCAGCCTTTGCTACCCATTTCAGTGGCTTCTATTAAAATCAGATGAAACTCACAAATGAGATGAATAAGGACTAATACAATGGAAACGAATTCTAAAACACTGGGAGGGCTTGCAAATAGGTTGACACAAATCATCGATTAGATTACAGAAGTC